TTTCTATATATATTTATTGTGAGAAATCATTAAGATTATCAGTGTTTCCACAAAGATAAATATCATTAATTATTAATAATAACAGAGTTAAAGGTAAATTGAGCAAATTGGTTATTTCTGGCAATTTAAGTGTGTAACAAACTGGTCCTTCGCATTAATCAGTGCCGAGAAGTTAGCCTGGCTCCAGCCGACCTTTAGCCCCGCCTCCATGGAGTTTCTGCGGGCAGGTCGGTCTGGCATTCCTCAATGGAAAAAGTATTATGGGGGGCGTGTTCGAACTGAAACAGGAAACACAATCCCCCTTCGTTCTATTGGATAGTCCAACAACCAATGAGAGCGAGGTGTGACGTATTTATGCGACGTTATTATTGTTTACCTTCTCGCATGCTGCCTGTAAAATGAGTGCAAACGACTTGTGCCGGTGTTGCAAAAAGAACTTGAAGATACGCGGAATATTTAGCAACACGTTACTAATTTTTGAGAGAAATAAAAAAGGTAAATCCATATACGAACAAGTCCTCCATTTAGGATTACAACTTCACAAGACATCAGAGAAATCTACGCGCATTTGTCGGTCCTGTCACAACCTGATTACAAGACTGGAACGCGACATTCCCGTGTTCAAATCATGGACAAACAAAGAAGGAGAACCGGCTGAAGAAGCATGCTCATCAGAGTCACCATCAGAGAAGAGAGACCGGGAGCTGAGCCCTTCTAAGTCGCCCAGAGCCCTGAAGAAGTTCTGTTCCAATCATTTAACTGCAGCCGGTGCAAAACCGCGAAGAAGCATCACAAAGGTAAGCGCATGTTAAAGAAAAAATTCTACCTATTATTTTATACCCACAATCTCGATTGCCAAGTGTTTCATATATGAAGTCGTGTTTATTTACAATGTGATTAACACATAACCATCACATGAAGCCCGCCCTGTCACTCTGACTGGCCCGGTATGTATCGTACCGGGCATAATGGTTTTTCCATTGAGGAATGCCAGACCGACCTGCCCGCAGAAACTCCATGGAGGCGGGGCTAAAGGTCGGCTGGAGCCAGGCTACCGAGAAGTAGCTCTTGGTCTCAAAAAGGTTGGTGACCCCTGATGTACAGTATATGCAGATGTGTGTGTGTGTGTGTGTGTATGTGTGTGTATGTGTGTGTGTGCGCGTGTGCGTGTCAGAGTGTGTGTGTGTGTGTGTGTGCGTGCGTATGTATATGCCAATGTGTGTGTCTGTGCGCGCGTGCTTGTGCGTGTGTGTGTGTGTGTGCGTGTCAGAGTGTGTGTGTGTGTGTGCGTGAGAGGAGTTTGGATCTTTGCTGAATGTGCGTTTCAGATTCATGGCTTTGACATCTGTGTCCTTCCCACCTCGCTGCCCCTGATCGTTTATCAAGCGCTCCCCCTTCGCGTTACTGTCCCCCCATTGGTTCAGAGCAGTGTGTGTGTGTGTGTGTGTGTGTGTGTGTGTGTGTGTGTGTGTGTGTGTGTGTGTGTGTGTGTGTGTGTGTGTGTGTGTGTGTGTGTGTGTGAGTGAGTGTGTGTCCTGCGGAGAACGACTTCACTAATGTGGTTTAAACACAGCTGAACACCGGACATCGCTCACCGGGACACACTTCTTGTATGGAGCAAAACAGACAAAAACAGACAAAAACAGGCACTTTCTGTATTTTACTAACTCCTTTTGCAGATTGAAACGATTGGATCTGAGTTTACCGTGACGTATGTAAAGCGCCCGAGTGACTTGTTAGCATTTAGCATTTAGCCTAGCCATCTCCTTTGCCGCTAACAGAGCCACAGTCTTTGCAGCGATGACTTTTGCTAAACATTCCTCTTGCTCCGGCTTCAGTTTCTTGATAGAACCAGACCAGAATACTTTACTATCACATTCTTTCCCCAACTACAACCTGCCCCTTTGACGCAAACTCTTGACGTCACCCACATCTAACTACAACACCCGCCTCCCGCGCTCTCTGATTGGTCGAATGGAACTCACCTGATTGTAATCACAAACACAGGGACCAGACCCAGACGTTACATGCAGGACATGATCATGAAGTGTGCGGATGGATAAGACCCGGGTAGCACAGTGTAGTTTTTGCTCCCATTTTGCATTGAGATCATATATTATAATTTCCTGGACCGCAGTGGCTTCACAGGACAATATGTGGTCTTCACAGTGGTCCCCGACACCCGCTCAAACTGCTTTTTGTCCCTCATCACCCACTGTATTTCAAGATGGAGCATTCACACAGAGAGTCCTCAGCCTCATGGACATTTATAATTCACATTCTCAGTCTATGTTATTGGTTTAACATGTTTGTTTTATTTTGGGCAACTGTGAAAATTACACAGAGTGGCTTTAAAGATTCTACTCTGCCACAGGAGACAGGACAGATTTAAAGATGGGGAAAGAACTGAAACATACTGTATTTTCTGGACTATAACCTGCACCTGATTATAAGCCTCAGCCATCTAATTTTGAGAAAGAAACTTATTTTTGAACTTGTATAAACCGCACTGGATTATAAGCCGCACCTGCCCCACGCTGTAACATAGACAGTGTATTATCCCTGACTGCAGAAAGGTCGGAGAATCATCTACCGTTACTCTTTTCACTTTCATGTCTAAACAAAGAACCAAAAATATATTTATTAAGTGATATTTACACAAAGATATTATACGTGAGGACTTTAATCTGCTCCAATTACATATTATAAACGTGTTCCTTCATCACGGCGCCCGAGAGCTTTAACATGTGTCCACTGTGAGATCAATAAAGTTTATTGTATCCTAAATAAACCGGACACAGTCAGTTGTTATTATTGTCTAGTACTGTCCGTGCTGCAGATACAGGAGCTGTTTCACCTCAAACACCAGAGAAATGTCTGTGACGCAAATCCCAAACAGGCCTTTCAGAGACAGGCCGCTGAAGCAGAGGGGGGAGGGGCTGGGGGGGGGGGGGGGGGGGGAGGGAGAGAGGGAGGGAGGGAGGGAGGGGGGAGTGATATAAAGTCAAGTGGAGTCGAGAGCGGGACAAACGCGCTGTGATGAGTGTTTATAAGGGAACAGCCTTGAGGGGAGACGAGAGGGGAGGGAGTGTGTGTGTGTGTGTGTGTGTGTGTGTGTGTGTGAATGTGTGTGTGAGTGAGTAAATGTGTGTGTGTGTGTGTGAGTAAATGTGTGTGTGTGAGTGAGTGTGTGTGAGTGAGTAAATGTGTGTGTGTGTGTGTGTGTGTGTGAGTAAATGTGTGTGTGAGTGTGTGAGTAAATATGTGTGTGTGTGTGTGTGTTTGTGTGAGTAAATATGTGTGTTTGTGTGAGTAAATATGTGTGTGTGTGTGTGTGCGTGTGTGTGTATATATATATGTGTGTGTGTGCGTGAGTGTGTGTGTATATATGTGTGTGTGTGCGTGAGTGTTTGTGTATATGTGTGTGTGCGTGTGTGTATACAGCAGCAGTTGCCAGGTCTCACACGTCTCACTAATATAAACAGATTGGCTCCAGTCGAACAGAACTCTGGACTTTAATCACCAGGTTTTGGCAACGATTAAAAATCTACATTTAATACAAAAGAGGAGATTAAAGCTGAGGTCTGTAACTTTAGTTTGTAACAGAAAGAGTCTTGTGAGTCACTATAGAACTCTTTGGGCTGAGAGCTGATTGGCTGAGAGAGGGGGGTCCTCTTTTTTTCCCTTTTCTGTCTGAAAAAGTAGATCTAAAGATGTGACAGAGACAGAAAAACATGAAAACTAGGGACACAAAGTTCTGTTAGTGTGGTCTAAAAGTTACACACCCCAGCTTTAATGTTACACACCCCAGCTTTAATGTTACACACCCCAGCTTTAATGTTACACACCCCAGCTTTAATGTTACACACCCCAGCTTTAATGTTACACACCTCAGCTTTAATGTTACATACCCCAGCTTTAATGTTACACACCCCAGCTTTAATGTTACACACCCCAGCTTTAATGTTACACCCCCAGCTTTAATGTTACACACCCCAGCTTTAATGTTACACACCCCAGCTTTAATGTTACACACCCCAGCTTTAATGTTACACACCCCAGCTTTAATGTTACACACCCCAGCTTTAATGTTACACACCCCAGCTTTAATGTTACACACCCCAGCTTTAATGTTACACACCCCAGCTTTAATGTTACACACCCCAGCTTTAATGTTACACACCCCAGCTTTAATGTTACACACCCCAGCTTTAATGTTACACACCCCAGCTTTAATGTTACACACCCCAGCTTTAATGTTACACACCCCAGCTTTAATGTTACACACCCCAGCTTTAATGTTACACACCCCAGCTTTAATGTTACACACCCCAGCTTTAATGTTACACACCCCAGCTTTAATGTTACACACCCCAGCTTTAATGTTACACACCCCAGCTTTAATGTTACACACCCCAGCTTTAATGTTACACACCTCAGCTTTAATGTTACATACCCCAGCTTTAATGTTACATACCTCAGCATTAAGTAACACTAACGGCTTCTCCTCATGTTGTGACTTTTGGAACATGTTTGTAAACAGAATCATGCGGCGGAGCGGTTCAAGGACACGCTAACGAGGCTAACGAGGCTAACGAGGCTAACAGGGACTTTTAATGAGAATTGATTTGTCATTTGTTCCCGTCTCGTTCATATCTTTCTCATTTCCTCCGGTTTCCACACGTCTCACATCATTAGTGTCTCAGAGAGGGAGCACGGGGAGAACATGCAAACTGAACAGAGCGGAGGAACACAGGGAGAACATGCAAACTGAAGAGAGCCGAAGAGCACAGGGAGAACATGCAAACTGAACAGAGCGGAGGAACACAGGGAGAACATGCAAACTGAAGAGAGCGGAGGAGCACATGGAGAACATGCAAACTGAAGAGAGCTGAGGAGCACAGGGAGAACATGCAAACTGAAGAGAGCTGAGGAGCACAGGGAGAACAGGGAGGTCTGTCTGGTTCTGGTGCTGGTCCTGGTCCTGGTCCTGGTCTCACCTGAGCCTCCGTCCGCCAGGTACGCGTCCCGAGCAAAAAGCACCGAGTCCAACATGGATTCAAACAACAGGAAGTAGCCCTGAAACACACAGGTACACACTGTTACACACAGGTACACACTGTTACACACAGGTACACACTGTTACACACAGGCACAAAAAGGTACACTCAGGTCTCTAGGTCTCTCGCTGGTCTCTCTCAGGCCTCCCTCTGGTCTCTCTCGCTCTGGTCTCTTGCTGGTCTCTCTCAGGCCTCCCTCTGGTCTCTCTCGCTCTGGTCTCTCGCTGGTCTCTCGCTGGTCTCTCTCAGGCCTCCCTCTGGTCTCTCTCGCTCTGGTCTCTTGCTGGTCTCTCTCAGGCCTCCCTCTGGTCTCTCTCGCTCTGGTCTCTCGCTGGTCTCTCTCAGGCCTCCCTCTGGTCTCTCTCAGGCCTCCCTCTGGTCTCTGACAGATGCTGTTACATAATGGTCTCGTTCACAGCGTCTGTCGCTCTGATTTGATTACGCGTGTTAATTACTGCCACAGATGTGCGCTAATCAGCTCCATCCCATAATAACAGGACTACATTACCCAAAATCCCCCTCTAGACCCCCTGACCCCGTTCCCCTCGGAGACCACAGCACGGCCATGTTTGATTAGAGCAGGACTGAGACTTAAAGCTGGTAAAGTGAATATTAAAGGTCCCATATGTCCCTGTACCGTGACGTATGTAATGAGCCCGAGTGAGTGAGGCATTTAGCATTTAGCCTAGCTTTAGCATGTAGCCTAGCTTTAGCCATCTCCTTTGCCACTGACGGAGCCCGAGGGAGTAGAGCCACAACATCTTTGCTTCAATGACATTTACTAAACCTTCCTCTTGCTCCAACAATTATTATAATGTGTTATTTATGAGGCTAAAGTTACAACCCTGAGCTTTAAAGCTACATCTCTCATTAGTAGCCTGTTAGCAGGACACGTCTTCATACAGAGTTCTGCTTCTCGTTCTTATCTCTGAGACCGAGCTGATAACGAGAGCGGTTAATTCCTCTGGGACAAGGACGGACACACAAACACACACACGCACACACAGACACACACAAACACACACACACTCACACACAGCATTTGTCTCGGTGGGAAATGGATCTTTATGAAAAGGAGCAACTAAAACTCTAATTGATCCTCACGGCGTCACTCGCTCCTGCAGAAGAAAAGCTCCACAGTCTGCACTAATGTAAACACAAATTCACGCAAAATCAGCTAAAATGAGAGAGACCAGAGACAGACCAGAGAGAGACCAGAGAGAGACCAGAGAGAGAGACCAGAGAGAGACCAGAGAGAGACCAGAGAGAGAGACCAGAGAGAGACCAGAGAGAGACCAGAGAGAGACCAGAGAGAGACCAGAGGGAGAGACCAGAGAGAGACCAGAGAGAGACCAGAGAGAGACCAGAGAGAGACCAGAGAGAGACCAGAGAGAGACCAGAGAGAGACCAGAGAGAGACCAGAGGGAGACCAGAGAGAGAGACCAGAGAGAGACCAGAGAGAGACCAGAGAGAGACCAGAGAGAGACCAGAGAGAGACCAGAGAGAGACCAGAGAGACACCAGAGGGAGACCAGAGAGAGACCAGAGAGAGACCAGAGAGAGACCAGAGAGAGACCAGAGAGAGACCAGAGAGAGACCAGAGAGAGACCAGAGAGAGACCAGAGAGAGACCAGAGAGAGACCAGAGAGAGACCAGAGGGAGACCAGAGAGACCAGAGGGAGACCAGAGAGACCAGAGAGAGACCAGAGAGAGACCAGAGAGAGACCAGAGAGAGACCAGAGAGAGACCAGAGGGAGACCAGAGAGAGACCAGAGGGAGACCAGAGGGAGACCAGAGAGAGACCAGAGAGACACCAGAGGGAGACCAGAGAGAGACCAGAGGGAGACCAGAGAGAGACCAGAGAGAGACCAGAGGGAGACCAGAGAGAGACCAGAGAGACACCAGAGGGAGACCAGAGAGAGACCAGAGAGAGACCAGAGAGAGACCAGAGGGAGATCAGAGGGAGACCAGAGAGAGACCAGAGAGAGACCAGAGAGAGACCAGAGAGAGACCAGAGAGAGACCAGAGAGAGACCAGAGGGAGACCAGAGAAACCAGAGGGAGACCAGAGAGAGACCAGAGAGAGACCAGAGAGAGACCAGAGAGAGACCAGAGAGAGACCAGAGGGAGACCAGAGGGAGACCAGAGGGAGACCAGAGAGAGACCAGAGGGAGATCAGAGGGAGACCAGAGAGAGACCAGAGAGAGACCAGAGAGAGACCAGAGAGAGACCAGAGGGAGACCAGAGTGAGACCAGAGAGTGACCAGAGAGAGACCAGAGAGAGACCAGAGGGAGACCGGAGGGAGACTAGAGGGAGACCTTCTGAAAAGTGATGTTACCTCAAGGCTTGACTACTACAGCGCCCCCTGCTGGCAGCGGGTCCTAAATTCACAATAAAAAGTTTCCACCTTGTCCAAAACACAGCAGCGTATGTGTGTGTGTGTGTATGTGTGTATGCGTATGTGTGTGTATGTATATGTATCTGTATGTGTGTGTATGTGTGTGTGTACGTGTATATGTATGTGTGTGTGTGTGTATGTGTATGTGTATGTGTGTGTATGTATGTGTGTGTAATTGTATGTGTGTGTAATTGTATGTATGTATATGTATGTATGTGTGTGTGTGTCCAGGTGTGTGTGTGTGTGTGTGTGTGTGTCCAGGTGTGTGTGTGCAGCCAGGCTTGAAATTAGGATCCGCAGTGACAGGTCAGAGTCAGCAGAAACAGTGCATTCTTCATTACAACTGATCACAGCCGAGGGAAGAATTCATGAGTCGATGTGTGATTTTAAAGCTCGGGTACGTAGTTTTCAGACCGCCCCAATGTCTCCCTTTATCACATCTTTAGATCAGCTTTTTCAGACAGAAAAGTGACAAAGAGTGACATAGGCGGCAGTAGCTCAGTTGGTAGAGCGTTGGCCTTTGAGCCAGAAGTTCGTGGGTTCAAGCCCCGCTCAGGACTTTCACCATCGACTCCCACTGACTACTGTCGTTGTGTCCTTGGCAAGACACTTAACCTCTGGGAACACCAGCCACAGTGGGGCGGCTGCGGCTGTAAAGTGCCAAACTGCCGTTGTGTCCTTAGGCAAGACACTTCACCCCCATTGCCTAGAATGAGTCTGGTGTGTGTGTGAATGGTTGGTGGTGGTCGGAGGGGCCGATGGCACAGACTGGTTGCCTCGCTTCTGTCAGTGTGCCCCAGGGCAGCTGTGGCTACTGTAGTAGTTTATCACCACCGTGTATGGAGTGAATGAATAATGACACATGTGAAGCGTCTTTGAGTATCCAGAAAAGCGCTATATAAAACCGATGCATTATTATTATATTATAAAGAGAGGACCCCCCTCCCTCGGCCAATCAGATCTCAGCCAATCAGCTCTCAGCCAAAAGAGTCAAATAGTGACTCACAGGGATCTTTTCTGATAAGTTGAAGACAGTATGTACTTTCTAAAAGAGAAATTCTGTATCTTAATTGAGGGAAAAAAGTGGTGAGTGAGTTTGCATGTTCTGCCTGTGCCTTCGGGCTGTTTCAGACCAGAGCAGCTCCATCACACACTAATGAAAAGATAATGACAACTGAAGCTGCATTAACATAAAACACATTATCCTAAACACCAAAGACACCAGAGACCAGAAGGAGACCAGAGGGAGACCAGAGGGAGACCAGAGGGAGACCAGAGAGGGACCAGAGAGGGACCAGAGAGGGACCAGAGAGAGACCAGAGTGAGGCCAGACACGGACCAGAGAGAGACCAGAGAGAGAGACCAGAGACGGACCAGAGAGAGACCAGAGAGACCAGAGACGGACCAGAGAGAGACCAGACAGAGACCAGAGAGAGACCAGAGAGAGAGACCAGAGAGAGATCAGAGACGGACCAGAGAGAGACCAGAGAGACCAGCGGGAGACCAGAGGGAAACCAGAGAGAGACCAGAGAGAGACCAGGTACAGGTACAAAGACTAATGTGAATCGGTCCACAGAAGCCAGAACTATGTGTATGACTTTGTGTGTGTGTGCGTGCGTGCCTCTCTCTGTGTCTCTGTGTGTGTGTGTGTGTGTGTGCGTCTGTGTGTGTGTGTCTCTGTGTATCTGTGTGTGTGTGTCCGTGGAGCTGGCGCGTACAGCCGCAGATCTCATTTGGATTCATGTAAACCGTAATGAAACAGAATCTATTAGAGATGAGTTTGTGCTGATGCTGTCATTACACAGCGCTCTGTGGGAACATCTCCTCAGGCCCAGACACTGTAGACACAAGACCAGGACCAGGACCAGGACCAGGACCAAGACCGAGACCAAGATCGAGACCAGGCCCAAAGACTAAAAATAGAACACCAGGGCCAAGACTTGAGACCAATTATAGAGTCAGGCCCATGAACACCGAGACAGGACCAGGACCGAGGCCGGGACAAGTTCCAAGACCATGATTGAGACCAGGACAAGTACCAAGACCAGGACAAAGACCAAAACCAAGAGCGAGACAAGGACAAAGACGAGGACCAGGTACAACACCAGGACAAAGACAAAGGAACAAAACTAATATGGCCAAAGTCTCTGTCTGAGTGTGCGTGTGTCTCTGAGTGTGTGTGCGTGTGCGTCTTTGTGTCTGTGCTTATTATCAGCCTCTCGCTCTGATCCTGATCCTCCATCACTCATCCTGTCTCTGCGCACACCGCGGCACTGTCAATCAAACACTCATAAACGCACACACAGATACAAACATACGCACACACGCACACTGGCACACAGACGCACACAAGCAAGCACAGAGACACACACACACGCAGGATACAAAACTCAAGTCCCACTTAAATCTCTAATAAAATGATCTTTAAACCTTTGTAAAGCGGCAAACCCTCCAACAGCCAATCAGCTCTCAGCCCATGAGCAGTGGGCGGGGCCTAAATAATCCAAACACACATTTCCCCTGCGCTCTTACATGCATCTGCTGCCTGTGTCTCAGGAGGCTCTGTTTGTCCTGGTTACATGGGAGCTCAGGACTAGAGAGAGAGAGACCAGAGAGAGACCAGAGAGAGACCAGAGAGAGACCAGAGAGAGACCAGAGAGAGACCAGAGAGAGACTAGAGAGAGACCAGAGAGAGACCAGAGAGAGAGACCAGAGAGAGACTAGAGAGAGACCAGAGAGAGACCAGAAAGAGACCAGAGAGAGAGACCAGAAAGAGACCAGAGAGAGAGACCAGAGAGAGACTAGAGAGAGACCAGAGAGAGAACAGAGAGAGAACAGAGAGAGACCAGAGAGGGACCAGAAAGAGAGACCAGAGAGGGACCAGAGAATGAGACCAGAGAATACGACCAGAGAGAGACCAGAGAGAGAAACCAGAGAGTGAGACCAGAGAGAGAGACCAGAGAGTGAGACCAGAGCGTGAGACCAGGGACAGACCAGGGACAGACCAGAGAGAGACCAGAGAGAGACCAGAGAGAGACCAGAGAGAGACCAGAGAGAGACCAGAGAGAGACCAGAGAGTGAGGCTTCGTTCTCGCCTCATGAATACAAAGCCTGTGTTTACTGTCTGTTGCCGCGGTGATGGATGCGCCGTGCCGTAGACCCGCCTGAGCTCACGGTCAAAAGGCCTAAATATGGATCAGACTCGGGCCTTGGACTCGGACACGACTCTGATTATTCCAGAACGATGGTCCATATTTATGAGGCACAGTTTAAATCTGCTGCACATCAGCTGCAGGTCACATGACTACACTCCATCATGTACATTACACTACACACATTTATCTGCATGGTCTCTCTGGTCTCTCTGGTCTCTCTGGTCTCTCTGGTCTCTCTGGTCTCTCTGGTCTCTCTGGTCTCTCTGGTCTCTCTGGTCTCTCGCTCTGTATATGTGTGTCTCTGTGTATGTGTGCGTGTCTCTCTGTGTGTGTGTGTCCGTGGAGCTGGCGCGTACAGCCGCAGATCTCATTTGGATTCATGTAAACCGTAATGAAACAGAATCTATTAGAGATGAGTTTGTGCTGATGCTGTCATTACACAGCGCTCTGTGGGAACATCTCCTCAGGCCCAGACACTGTAGACACAAGACCAGGACCAGGACCAGGACCAAGACCAAGACCAGGACTGAGACCGAGATCGGGAGCAGGCCCAAAGACTAATCATAAAAGACCAGGACCAGAGACTAATATACAAGACCATGACTGAGACCAGGACCAAGCTGCGAGTCTACACATACAGGCAGGTCCATAATGCTAACCCAGAGCCGGGACCGAGATCCAGGTCCCCGGTCTCTCTCCGGCGACTCTCCCCGGGCGACTCTCCGCGGTCTCCCCCTGGTCCAAGGGTCGTGACTGTGTGAGTGTGAACCATGTGTGTTTACCATCCACTCTGAGACGATGATGTCCACTTTGTCCACAGGCAGAGACACATCCTCCACCCGCCCTTTGAGCAGCGTCACCGTGTCCTGCAGCCCGTTCAACCTGAAATATACATATACCATGTGAGTCACAGACCAGCACGGACCAGCACAGACCAGCACAGACCAGCACAGACCAGCACCGATCATGCACCGACTAGCACCGACTAGCACCGACTAGCACTGACCAGCACCGACCAGCACAGACCAGCACCAACAAGCACGGACCAACACCGACCAGCACAGATCAGTACAGACCATCACTGACCAGCACGGACCAGCACGGACCAGCACGGACCAACACCGACTAGCACAGACCAGCACCACATAGACTAGAGAGAGATCAGAGGGAGCAACCAGAAAGATAGACCAGAACAAGTCAAGAGAGATACTAGCGAGGACAGAGAGATACCGTTCGTGTCTGTGTGTGTCTGTAGGTCTGTGTGTGTGTGTCTGTGTGTGTTTGTAGGTCTGTGTGTGTTTGTAGGTCTGTGTGTGTGTGTCTGTGTGTGTGTGTCTGTGTGCGTGCGTGCGTGTCTGTGTGTGTGTGTGTCTGGACAGATCTCATTAAAACTGAAGCTTTCATTTTAAGTTTAGTGAATCAGTGCGACACAAGACGGATGAGGAGCCGCACCTTTAATTACAGAAGAATCAAACTCATCATAAACGAGACGAGACGAGAGGACAGAGAGAGAGAAGGAGAGAGGGGGGAGAGAGGAGAGAGGGGAGAGACAGACCAGAGAGGACAGTCACAACACGACTTTAAAGATGGGAGCGGATTCAAACTCATGAAAACATTTCTGAAAGTGTCTGAGCTCTGATTGGTCTCCTCTGATCAGGACTAACCAGGTCCCGCCTACTTCCTGTTCTTTCACTCGTCCGTAAAGACCAGATGTGAGGAGAGAACGACTGTTAATTGTCCCATGTACAGATCCCCCCAAATAAGTTGTAACCATGGGCCTCTTGCCTGCATCTTTGGTCATTGCTTGTCAGTTCAGGTCAGGGCTGCCGACACTTTTTTAGTAAGAGGGCCACTGTTTTAGTCCCGCTTTAGTCCCGCTTTAGTACCGCTTTTGTCCCGCTTTAGTCCCGCTTTAGTCCCGCTTTAGTCCCGCTTTAGTCCCGCTTTAGTCCCGCTTTAGTCCCGCTTTAGTCCCGCTTTAGTCCCGCTTTAGTCCCGCTTTAGTCCCGCTTTAGTCCCGCTTTAGTCCCGCTTTAGACCCGCTTTAGACCCGCTTTAGACCCGCTTTAGTCCCGCTTTAGACCCGCTTTAGACCCGCTTTAGAACCGCTTTAGAACCGCTTTAGAACCGCTTTAGACCCGCTTTAGACCCGCTTTAGTCCCGCTTTAGTCCCGCTTTAGTCCCGCTTTAGAACCGCTTTAGACCCGCTTTAGACCCGCTTTAGTCCCGCTTTAGACCCGCTTTAGACCCGCTTTAGAACCGCTTTAGAACCGCTTTAGACCCGCTTTAGACCCGCTTTGGTCCTGCTTTGGTCCTGCTTAAGTCCTGCTTTAGACCTGCTTTAGTCTTGGTTTGGACTTCAGACCCGGAGGAAGCGTCTCTGGTGGAATGTAAAACTCGGGGCTCACTCAGTGGTAAATCTAAAGTTTGGGCAGTGAAGCGCTCGTCTGGCAAATTAAAACTCCCGTGTCCTGCGCACGGCCGCAGTCGACTCGCACTCAAGTGGCTCGGCTCGGCACGGCTCCGCAGTCTCTGAGGCTAAATAATAACAATGCTCTGTGTTCCAGCTCGAGGAAGAGGGAACAGGTAACAGCAGGATAGCGGTACAGAATGCTTGGCTCTGATTGGCCGGTGACCATAGATCTTGGATCAGGAGTGGTCTGACCGAGTGTGACATCATCACAGTGCTACAGCTAATGTCCACCGGAGGCGCTACAGTGTAGGCGTTGTACCGTGGATCTATGATAATAACTGGATAGGGTATTACTAGCTTGGCGCTGAAGAACCATGTGCTCGGGGGATTCTCGCGGTACTGCAGACTAAACCAGACTAAACCAGACTAATTAAATTCACGTGGGCTACACAGAAATTTCCCCATGGAACTCAGTGTAAACTAAAACAGCTCGATCTCAGCTGACAGAGAACCTGACAGAGAACCTACAGCTTTCATAAAGATAGGATTTTGTGGGGACTTTAGTGTCCCTTGTCGTCCTGAACTTTTTTTCTTCTTAAATCCTTCGGTTTTGTTTAAATCCACACTTTACTGCCACTCACTCTGCTCCTCTGGCTCTCGCTCTAACTCCCGCTCTGATGAACTGCTCTGATTGGTCAGAGCCGAGCCCCTCTGTGCACGTGCGTGAGAGCCACACACGCGTAACCGGGAGGACCAGACGATGCCCAAATATAGGCGAGTTTCCCATAGATCTTTGAGATTTCCGCTAATCTTTCAGCCCCAATGCCGGCACAAAGAGCCACCGAGCACAAACCATTCATTTGAATACGGCGCCATCTTGGATCGCCGGCGCTTGCGTTGTACACGCAGCAGACGCGTGTAACATTTTCTATGTGAACCAACGGTGATATTTACACTAGTGTTAAACGCACAAAAACAGCAGGATCTCAGGGAGCGATAAACCACGGATTTAATCCCAGAACGGTCTCTATGACACAAGTTTGGGCGGCACGGTGACTGAGTGGTTAGCACTCTCGCTTCTCAGCAAGAAGGTCCTGGGTTTGAAACCCGGTCGAAACAGGGCCTTTCTCAGTGGAGTTTGCATGTAATGAGTAATACCACTAAAAACATGTACAATAGGTCTGAATGTAATGAGTGAGTGGGTGGTGTTGGAGCTGATGGTCCAGTGTGTTCTGGTCTCGCTTCTGTCATCACCGTGTGTGGAATGATTAGAACAATATCTGACTCTGAACATTGTAAAGTGCTTTGGGTGACCTTGGTCTGTAAAATGTGCTATATAAATAAACATTACTTACTTACAAACAGTAACTGAGCAGTTTTATCTGTGAGTCTATAGGAGCCAGAGCAAGTTAGCTAAACTACACCATGAGCACTTCTCTATTGGGATTCATTGAGCTAGCAGGTTAGCAGTGAGCTAGCACAGGGCGCTGCAGAGACATAAGGATGTAGTTTAATGTTCACAGTAATGAGCAGAGGTCTGTGTGACCTTCACTTTGGCTCAACGACTGCAATAAAAGACCTGACAGACCTCGACCAGGTCAGTACTAGGTCGGTACCAGGTCTGGACCAAGTCGGGACCAGGCCAGGATCAGTTCTGGACCATAGACTGTACTGTATATATTAATGGTCACACCTATCTCTGCTGTTCTAACTAATGGGCCAAATATTGGGCTTTCATGGAGTGATTCAAAATGGCCGCGGGGGCTGGAGAATGTGAAAAAACGCATCTGTGCATGCGTCAGCTGCACGAGCTCCAGTCATTTAAACGAGTGACTTCTAAAGTCCACAGCGACTAAACTAGACTGGTCCAAAACACCCCCCTCAGCATTGACACACATGTGGAACAGAGCTTTGGAACAAGAGCCAACTTTTGGACCATCCTGTAAAGACGTTTTTGAGAGGCAAGAAGATGCTATATGTTAGCATTGGCTAATTCTTTTTCCGGGTCCACCCCCATCGGCCCGGGGTGGTATCGCAGCTTGTCAGCGCACGTCATTTTGGCCACTTTTGAGCCGGGACCCGCCCCCACTGGACTGGACCAGAAATTCTGGGACAAAGTGCTCGATGGTAGATACCTGACGATGTCCATGGCCTGGTAAACGATCTCTGATTGGTCGACGCCGATGACTCGTTTGGCTCCAGCTTTAGCAGCGAACATGGAGAGGATCCCAGTCCCACAGCCTACGTCCAGCACCACCTGCAGGAGAGGAGGAGCATTACACTACAGCACCTCCTGCAGGAGAGGAGGAGCGTTACACTACAGCACCACCTGCAGGAGAGGAGGAGCGTTACACTACAGCACCACCTGCAGGAGAGGAGGAGCATTACACTACAGCATCACCTACAGGAGAGGAGGAGCATTACACTACAGCACCACCTACAGGAGAGGAGGAGCATTACACTACAGCACCACCTACAGGAGAGGAGGAGCATTACACTACAGCACCACCTGCAGTAGAGGAGGAGCATTACACTACAGCACCACCTACAGGAGAGGAGGAGCATTACACTACAGCACCTCCTGCAGGAGAGGAGGAGCATTACACTACAGCACCTCCTGCAGGAGAGGAGGAGCGTTACACTACAGCACCACCTGCAGGAGAGGAGGAGCGTTACACTACAGCACCACCTGCAGGAGAGGAGGAGCATTACACTACAGCATCACCTACAGGAGAGGAGGAGCATTACACTACAGCACCTCCTGCAGGAGAGGAGGAGCATTACACTACAGCACCACCTGCAGTAGAGGAGGAGCGTTACACTACAGCACCACCTGCAGGAGAGGAGGAGCATTACACTACAGCACCACCTGCAGTAGAGGAGGAGCGTTACACTACAGCACCACCTGCAGGAGAGGAGGAGCATTACACTACAGCATCACCTACAGGAGAGGAGGAGCATTACACTACAGCACCACCTACAGGAGAGGAGGAGCATTACACTACAGCACCACCTACAGGAGAGGAGGAGCATTACACTACAGCACCACCTGCAGGAGAGGAGGAGCATTACACTACAGCATCACCTACAGGAGAGGAGGAGCATTACACTACAGCACCACCTGCAGTAGAGGAGGAGCATTACACTACAGCACCACCTACAGGAGAGGAGGAGCATTACACTACAGCATCACCTACAGGAGAGGAGGAGCATTACACTACAGCACCTCCTGCAGGAGAGGAGGAGCATTACACTACAGCACCACCTGCAGGAGAGGAGGAGCGTTACACTACAGCACCACCTGCAGTAGAGGAGGAGCATTACACTACAGCACCACCTACAGGAGAGGAGGAGCATTACACTACAGCACCTCCTGCAGGAGAGGAGGAGCATTACACTACAGCACCTCCTGCAGGAGAGGAGGAGCGTTACACTACAGCACCACCTGCAGGAGAGGAGGAGCGTTACACTACAGCACCACCTGCAGGAGAGGAGGAGCATTACACTACAGCATCACCTACAGGAGAGGAGGAGCATTACACTACAGCACCTCCTGCAGGAGAGGAGGAGCATTACACTACAGCACCACCTGCAGTAGAGGAGGAGCGTTACACTACAGCACCACCTGCAGGAGAGGAGGAGCATTACACTACAGCACCTCCTGCAGGAGAGGAGGAGCGTTACACTACAGCACCACCTGCAGGAGAGGAGGAGCATTACACTACAGCATCACCTACAGGAGAGGAGGAGCATTACACTACAGCACCACCTACAGGAGAGGAGGAGCATTACACTACAGCACCACCTACAGGAGAGGAGGAGCATTACACTACAGCACCACCTGCAGTAGAGGAGGAGCATTACACTACAGCACCACCTACAGGAGAGGAGGAGCATTACACTACAGCACCTCCTGCAGGAGAGGAGGAGCATTACACTACAGCACCTCCTGCAGGAGAGGAGGAGCGTTACACTACAGCACCACCTGCAGGAGAGGAGGAGCGTTACACTACAGCACCACCTGCAGGAGAGGAGGAGCATTACACTACAGCATCACCTACAGGAGAGGAGGAGCATTACACTACAGCACCACCTACAGGAGAGGAGGAGCATTACACTACAGCACCACCTACAGGAGAGGAGGAGCATTACACTACAGCACCACCTGCAGTAGAGGAGGAGCATTACACTACAGCACCACCTACAGGAGAGGAGGAGCATTACACTACAGCACCACCTGCAGTAGAGGAGGAGCATTACACTACAGCACCACCTGCAGTAGAGGAGGAGCGTTACACTACAGCACCTCCTGCAGGAGAGGAGGAGCATTACACTACAGCACCTCCTGCAGGAGAGGAGGAGCATTACACTACAGCACCACCTGCAGGAGAGGAGGAGCATTACACTACAGCACCACCTACAGGAGAGGAGGAGCATTACACTACAGCACCACCTACAGGAGAGGAGGAGCATTACACTACAGCACCACCTGCAGTAGAGGAGGAGCATTACACTACAGCACCACCTGCAGTAGAGGAGGAGCATTACACTACAGCACCACCTGCAGGAGAGGAGGAGCATTACACTACAGCACCCTGCAGTAGAGGAGGAGCATTACACTACAGCACCACCTGCAGGAGAGGAGGAGCATTACACTACAGCACCACCTACAGGAGAGGAGGAGCATTACACTACAGCACCACCTACAGGAGAGGAGGAGCATTACACTACAGCACCACCTACAGGAGAGGAGGAGCATTACACTACAGCACCACCTGCAGTAGAGGAGGAGCATTACACTACAGCACCACCTGCAGGAGAGGAGGAGCATTACACTACAGCACCACCTGCAGTAGAGGAGGAGCATTACACTACAGCACCACCTGCAGGAGAGGAGGAGCATTACACTACAGCACCACCTGCAGTAGAGAAGGAGCATTACACTACAGCACCACCTGCAGGAGAGGAGGAGCATTACACTACAGCACCACCTACAGGAGAGGAGGAGCATTACACTACAGCACCACCTACAGGAGAGGAGGAGCATTACACTACAGCACCACCTACAGGAGAGGAGGAGCATTACACTACAGCACCACCTGCAGTAGAGGAGGAGCATTACACTACAGCACCACCTGCAGGAGAGGAGGAGCATTACACTACAGCACCACCTGCAGTAGAGGAGGAGCATTACACTACAGCACCACCTGCAGGAGAGGAGGAGCATTACACTACAGCACCTCCTGCAGTAGAGGAGGAGCATTGGCCTGGCTTTTCCCTGTGCTCTTACATGCATCTGCTGAAGGTGTCTCAGTAGGATCTGGGTTTTCACAGATTTACATGCGTCTAGTTCTATATCATTAAATTGGACTAAATGATCTGGTTTCACTCGGGCTTCAAAAACAGCAAATACAGCAAGATCAGAGCAGGTCACTCACTGAAGCTGACGAGGCTCAAAATGACGTGACAGCGCCCCCAGGAGGTCTGTGACTGTGTGCGTGTGTGTGTGGGTGTGTTTGCTCAGTGTATGTGTTTTCTCAGTTTGTTTGTGTGTGTGTGAATTTTCTGAGTGTGTGTCTGTGTGTGTGTGTGTGTGTGTAAAATGTGTATGTCTGTGTGAGTGTATGCAGTAAGTAAGTAAGTAATGTTTATTTATATACCGCCTTTCACAGACCAGAGTCACAAAGTATACAGTGTGTGTACGTATGTTTGCTCAGTGTGTGTGTGTGTGTGTCTGTGTGTGCGTGTGTGCGTTTTCTCAGTGTGTGTGTGTGTGTGTTTAGAGCAGAGACAAGACAATCTTATGCCTATAGCAGATTGATCTAAAACTGATTTCAATTATTTTCAGCTTTGAGGATTCATGACGGAGGAAGGAGTTAGAGAACGGAGCATGAGCACAGAGGGGGCAGGGGGTGAGCGTGGATGAGGTTAAACACAGCAGCAGATCATAATCTTACCTTATCTCTGAACAGCTGTGGGTTGTGGTACATGAAGTCTCTGTAGCTCTCGGTGCGAACACGGTCCTGACATGAAACATAAAACACGAGTCAGTTACAGCGGGTGAGAGAAGGTCACAGAGGTCTCTCTCTCTGCTCTCTCTCTCTCTGGTCTCTCTCTCTCTGGTCTCTCTCTCTTGTCTCTCTCTCTCTGGTCTCTCTCTCTCTGGTCTCTCTCTCTCTGGTCTCTCTCTCTCTGGTCTCTCTCTCTCTGGTCTCTCTCTCTCTGGTCTCTCTCTCTCTCTGGTCTCTCTCTCACTGGTCTCTCTCTCTCTGGTCTCTCTCACTGGTCTCTCTCTCTGGTCTCTCTCTCTGGTCTCTCTCTCTCTGGTCTCTCTCTCTCTGGTCTCTCTCTCTGGTCTCTCTCTCTCTCTGGTCTCTCTCTCTCTGGTCTCTCTCTCTCTCTGGTCTCTCTCTCTCTGGTCTCTCTCTCTGGTCTCTCTCTCTGGTCTCTCTCTCTGGTCTCTCTCTCTCTGGTCTCTCTCTCTCTGGTCTCTCTCTCTGGTCTCTCTCTCTGGTCTCTCTCTCTGGTCTCTCTCTCTCTGGTCTCTCTCTCTCTGGTCTCTCTCTCTGGTCTCTTGTCCGGGCACACGGAGGTCACGGCGCACGGCCATAAATCCACCGTGGCTGAGTGCGGCCTTATCTGCTCTGAGCACGCAGTCATAACGGCACAGCGCACGCTCACACACACAGAAACTTACAGAGACACACACACACACACACATATTCACTCACACTCACACACATACATATACACACACAGACACACACCCATACATACATACATACACATATACACACACACACACACACCGGGGAAATCTAACACCGATTACAGATATCGCAAAACACGGGTGTCATTCCCCCAGAGGAGAGGTCAGGGATTGGCTAATGGGGCTGTCAATCAAACCACTCTACCAAGAAGAGAGGAGGCGGGCTGTCACTGACAATGATGATTATAGAGTCAGGTCCAAAAGTACCAGCATCAGCACTATTCTGCACTCTGGACCCGAGACCAGCAATGGACCTGAGGCCAGCAATGGACCTGAGACCAGCAATGGACCTGAGGCCAGCAATGGACCTGAGGCCAGCAATGGACCTGAGGCCAGCAATGGACCTGAGACCAGCAATGGACCTGAGACCAGCAATGGACCTGAGACCAGCAATGGACCTGAGGCCAGCAATGGACCTGAGGCCAGCAATGGACCTGAGACCAGCAATGGACCTGAGACCAGCAATGGACCTGAGACCAGCAATGGACCTGAGGCCAGCAATGGACATGAGACCAGCAATGGACCTGAGACCAGCAATGGACCTGAGACCAGCAATGGACCTGAGGCCAGCAATGGACCTGAGACCAGCAATGGACCTGAGACCAGCAATGGACCTGAGACCAGCAATGGACCTGAGACCAGCAATGGACCTGAGACCAGCAATGGACCTGAGACCAGCAATGGACCTGAAACCAGCAATGGACATGAGACCAGCAATGGATCCCAGCTTCCAGCTTTATACCAGCTTTATCACATCAACATAGAATTTAATAACAGATGGACAAGGAAACCCAAAAGGGAAGTGCTCATAGTGAAGTTTTGCTTCACTCGCTCCTATTGATTTACATGCAAAAAAGGTCTCTCTCGCTGGTCTCTCGCTGGTCTCTCGCTGGTCTCTCGCTGGTCTCTCGCTGGTCTCTCGCTGGTCTCTCGCTGGTCTCTCGCTGGTCTCTCGCTGGTCTCTCGCTGGTCTCTCGCTGGTCTCTCGCTGGTCTCTCGCTGGTCTCTCGCTGGTCTCCTTCTGGTCTCCCTCTGGTCTCCCTCTGGTCTCCCTCTGGTCTCTCACCTTCAGCATGTCTGCGTGGATGCTGAAGTGGGAGTAGGAGCTGAAATAGGCCTGATCCTCTTCTTCTCTGAGCTCAGAGACCGGTCCCAGAGTCCGGCCTCGACCTGAGTCCGAGTTAAGAACCAAACCTTGGGCCAAGAGTCTGTGGGAAAAACAACAGTGTTTAAAGCAGACAGAACAGGGACTGAGTCCAGACCCAGAGAGTGAGACCGACTGGGACTCGAACATGGATCTATAATAATATCTGGATATAGTATTAGCTTAGAGCAGTCCCACCCATGGCCACAGGGGGCGCTGTGGTCCTGCGGACTACATTCACGTTACCCAGAAATATACCCCATAAAACTCAATGTAAACTAGAAACACACCTGACAGAGAACCTGACAGAGAACTTGAAAGCTTTCACAGATTCAAAAAAGCAGTGTTTGAGTTACAGTAATGTCTCTCTTTTACTCTGGTCTCTCTCTCTGTCTCTGGTCTCTCTCTCTCTCTCTGGTCTCTCTCTCTCTCTCTCTCTGGTCTCTCTCACTCTGGTCTCTCTCACTCTGGTCTCTCTCACTCTGGTCTCTCTCACTCTGGTCTCTCTCTCACTCTGGTCTCTCTCTCTCTGGTCTCTCTCACTCTGGTCTCTCTCTCTCTGGTCTCTCTCTGGTCTCTCTCACTCTGGTCTCTCTCTCTTTGGTCTCTCTCTCTCTCTGGTCTCTCTCACTCTGGTCTCTCTCTCTCTGGTCTCTCTCTCTCTGGTCTCTCTCTCTCTGGTCTCTCTCTCTCTGGTCTCTCTCTCTCTGGTCTCTCTCTCTCTGGTCTCTCTCTCTCTGGTCTGGCCCCTGGCTGATTTTGGGTCCTTGAATATTACATTTTAGAAGCACCACTTTTGATCTGTGCTTTAACCGTAGTGTTGGAGAGGCCTCTTCCTCCTCCTTTGTCCAGTGGAATTTTCCTTCTCGCTGCAGTGAAGAGTAGTGGAAATTTACCCCTGAAGTTGAGGACTGAGGACTGAGGAAAGGGGAGCGAGGCCCTCATGTGGACAGAGGTAGAACTGCAGCTCTGATTGTTTTAAACTGGACCATGTGACGCACCATCAATCACAAACACAAGAGACTGAAGAAAACCAGGACCTCACCTGTGTTTGTGGTCTCTCTTTCTGGTTTCTCTCTCTCTCTCTCTGGTTTCTCTCTCTGTCTCTGGTCTCTCTCTCTGTCTCTGGTCTCTCTCTCTGGTCTCTCTGGTTTCTCCCTCTCTCTCTGGTTTCTCTCTCTCTCTCTGGTCTCTCTGTCTTTGGTCTCTCTCTCTGGTCTCTCTCTCTGGTCTCTCTCTCTGGTCTCTCTCTCTGGTCTCTCTCTCTGGTCTCTCTCTCTGGTCTCTCTCTCTGGTCTCTCTCTCTGGTCTCTGGTCTCTGGTCTCTCTCTCTGGTCTCTCTCTCTGGTCTCTCTCTCTGGTCTCTCTCTCTGGTCTCTCTCTCTGGTCTCTGGTCTCTGGTTTCTCTCTCTGGTCTCATTATTACATTGTTTTACTGTTGTGGTCTTGAAGTTACGTACCGCAGCTTTAAAGACCCTGGTGTCAGACTGTAGCACGAACACTGACCTGAGTTGGTGCAGGTCGTCTGTGGCTCGGCTCAGGGCCTCCTCTGCTCTCTTCGCTCGCTCCTCCGCCTCGCTCGCCCGCTGCAGCAATGCATGATGGGGGCTGGGGGAGGTGGGGGAGGCGGGGGAGATGCTACACAACTCCTCTGGGTCTGACACACACACACACACACACACACATCATGACACACAAACACACAAAATCACCGTCATAACAACAGAGACCTATGGGACTGTACCTGTCTGGAGGAGCAGGTCGTCCTGGAGAACCGGTCTGAGGAAGTCCTCCGAGTCCCAGGGCACCGGGACCTGGGGGAGACCGGACAGGGACCCAGGACTGCAGGACTACAGGAGACCAAGAAGAGTGAGGAGGGGAGACCAGAGAGAGACCAGAGAGAGACACCAGAGAGAGACCAGAGAGAGACCAGAGAGAGACCAGAGAGAGACCAGAGAGAGACCAGAGAGAGACCAGAGAGAGACCAGAGAGACACCAGAGAGACACCAGAGAGACACCAGAGAGAGACCAGAGAGAGACCAGAGAGAGACCAGAGAGACACCAGAGAGAGAGACCAGAGAGAGAGACCAGAGAGAGACCAGAAAGAGACCAGAGAGACACCAGAGAGAGAGACCAGAGAGAGACCAGAGTGATTCTGACTTACGGTGGAGCGGATGTAGTTGATCATCTTAATGAAGCCGTAATCATCCAGGTCTGAAACACAGAAGTACAAGTACTCTGAAGAAGTACTCTGAAGAAGTACTCTGAAGAAGTACTCTGAAGAAGTACTCTGAAGAAGTACTCTGAAGAAGTACTCTGAAGAAGTACTCTGAAGAAGTACTCTGAAGAAGTTCTCTGAAGAAGTTCTCTGAAGAAGTTCTCTGAAGAAGTTCTCTGAAGAAGTACTCTGAAGAAGTTCTCTGAAGAAGTTCTCTGGAAGGGTACTCTGGAAGGGTACTCTGGAATGGTACTCTGGAATGGTACTCTGGAATGGTACTCTGGAATGGTACTCTGGAATGGAACTCTGGAATGGAACTCTGGAATGGAACTCTGGAATGGAACTCTGGAATGGTACTCTGGAAAGGTACTCAAAAAGTACTCTGGAAAAGTACTCTGGAAAAGTACTCTGGAAAAGTACTCTGGAAAAGTACTCTGGAAAAGTACTCTGGAAAAGTACTCTGGAGAAGTACTCTGGAGAAGTACTCTGGAGAAGTACTCTGGAGAAGTACTCTGGAGAAGTACTCTGGAGAAGTACTCACTGTGTTTGAAGATGAGGTCACTGAGCTTCAGGCTGTGATCAGACGAAATGTGGAGAGAAACCTCCTGTAGAGAAGAGAACGACCTGAGGAGAGGAGAGAGTACACTTTATACCAGAGAGAGAGATCAGAGAGCGAGACCAGGGAGAGAGAGACCAGACAGAGACCAGACAGAGACCAGAGATACAAGAAAGAGACCAGAGAGAGACCAGAGAGAGAAGACTTTGCGTTTCTGACCTGTCACAGAACAGACACAGAGTTGATGTAGGCTCCTCCTCCTCTTCCTCCATCCACTGCTGCTCATCATCCTCCTCTTCATCAGACAGATCTGGGAACTCCTCATCTGAGACAAGCAAAGGGCTTACATACAGGCAGGTCCAGACCCAGGTCCAGGACCAGGACCAGACCCAGGACAAGACATTTTCCTCTTCAACAGGTCTAAAGCAGGACTAAAGCAGGTCTAAAGCAGGACTAAAGCAGGTCTAAAGCAGAACCAAAGCAGGTCTAAACCAGGTCTAAACCAGGACTAAACCAGGACTAAACCAGGACTAAACCAGGACTAAACCAGGACTAAATCTCCGGGTTTTAGGGTTTATACACTGAGAGCGATGCTGTTCTGATTATATATTTAGACCCAAAATGATTTAGTTTCACTGTAAAGTTACATCCTGAGACAAACTGAAGCGCTTTTCGTCCCGTGAGCCGTGGTCTCCATGGAAACCCCATCTCTCATTCACAGACGGACGTGAATGTAAACAGTGTGTATATTATAGGATTCACAAACAGACTCTCTCTAGACCCAGGTCTGTGGAGCTACACACAAACATGTTTAACTCTGTCATATCTCCCTGAAAAGCCACGTATTTACCAAACTCACGTGGATCCGCGGGCGCTGCCATTCTGCCTCCTGTAGCACTTCCGCCTTGGTCAGTCACGTGGTACAAGCACAGACGCAGTTCGTGAGTTCAGCCACAAGAGGGAGCCAGAGTCCTATTGATGTCAAGCTTCTGTCTCTGAAGTTGGGTTTCCCTCCTAAAACTGGTCTAGACTAAAGCAGGACTCAAGCAGGTCTACAGGAGGTCTAAAGGAGGTCTGATGGAGGGCACGGTGGCTGAGTGGATAGCACTCTCGCCTCTCAGCAAGAAGGTCCTGGGTTCGAGTCCCGGTTGGACCAGGGCCTTTCTGAGTGGAGTTTGCATGTTCTCCCCGTGTCTGTGTAGGTTTCCTCCGGGTGCTCCAGTTTCCCCTACCACTAAAAATATGTACAATAGGTCTGGCATGTGCCTCCTGAACTGGCGAGCCCGCTCCCAAAAATAACAATTGTAAACCGCTTTGAGACTCCGATGTGCAGTGAAAAGGCGGTATATAAATAAAGATTACTTACTTACTTAGGGAGGTCTAAAGCAGGACAAATATAGGTCTAAAGCGGGACTAAAGCAGGTCTACAGGAGGTCTAAAGGAGGTCTGATGGAGGACTAAGTGAGGTCTAAAGCAGGTCTAATAGAGATGTAAACTAGGAATAAAGGAGGACTAAAGCAGGTCTACGGGAGGTCTAAAGGAGGTCTGATGGGGGACTATGGGAGGTCTAAAGCAGGTCTAATAGAGATGTAAACCAGGACTAAAGGAGGCGCCGTAAAGATGGCGCCGTGGCAAGAGCTCTGGTGTGTGTCGTCTGGCGCACACCGGGGTAGTCTTGCACAGTTTTTCCTATGTGGTTTTACTGCAAATGGCAAATAAATGAATCTGAATCTGAGGAGGACTAAATGTCTATAGCAGAACTAAAGCAGGTCTAAGGCAGGTCTAAATAAGGTCTAAATCCAGACTGAATCAGGTCTAAAGCAGGTCTAGGGCAGGTCTAAGGCAGGTCTAAAGCTGAGTGAGGGTCCTGTAAGTTATGTAAAAGGAAATGAGTCAAACTCTGATGAATAGTTCTTTATTGCAACATGTTTAAGGCTTTAGAATAAATTAAAAAATGACTCAAAACTCTTTCTCTTCAGAGTTTTTCTTCTTTCTGTAAAAAACAAAGTTTAAAATCATGATGTCATGTCTGTGTGTGGCCACAAGAGGGCACTGTCCCCGTATGTGAAGGAAGGAGAGGGACTAAAGCAGGTCTACAGCAGGTCTAAAGCAGGTCTAAAGCAGGACTAAAGCAGGTCTAAAGCAGGTCTAAAGCAGGACTAAAGCAGGACTAAAGCAGGACTAAAGCAGGTCTAAAGCAGGACTAAAGCAGGACTAAAGCAGGACTAAAGCAGGTCTAAAGCAGGTCTAAAGCAGGTCTAAAGCAGGACTAAAGCAGGACTAAAGCAGGACTAAAGCAGGTCTAAAGCAGGACTAAAGCAGGACTAAAGCAGGTCTAAAGCAGGACTAAAGCAGGTCTAAAGCAGGACTAAACAGGTCTAAAGCAGGTCTAAAGCAGGACTAAAGCAGGTCTAAAGCAGGTCTAAAGCAGGACTAAAGCAGGTCTAAAGCAGGACTAAAACAGGTCTAAAGCAGGTCTAAAGCAGGACTAAAGCAGGTCTAAAGCAGGTCTAAAGCAGGTCTAAAGCAGGTCTAAAGCCGGACTAACGCAGGTCTCTAGTTCTTCACCTGTCTCTGCTCTGCGACCTGATTGGCCAGGGCAACGATGGCCCTGTTCTCCAGCACCTCTGTCCTCTTCTCTGATTGGACCAGAGCATTGGTCACCATCGCCACGGCAACGGCCCTTATGTCCACTGCCATGGAGGGAAACACGGGAGCGAAGGCACGAAAGAAGCGGCGAGCGACCGCCTCCATGGGCCGGGACTCGACACGGTCCACCAGAAGGACTCTGGGACCAGGTGGAAGAGTTTGAACCAGACACGAGACTGAAGAGAACCTGAAAGAACTCACCCCGGACGGTACACGGAGAACCTGTCGAAGCCCAGGGCCTCAATATCAGCCTCCACCTGCCCCTGGAGAGGACATACTGTTAGTGGCCACAGGAGGGCGCTGTTACCAATGTATGACTAAAGCAGGTCTAAAGCAGGACTAAAGCAGGTCTAAAGCAGGACTAAAGCAGGACTAAAGCAGGACTAAAGCAGGACTAAAGCAGGACTAAAGCAGGTCTAAAGCAGGACTAAAGCAGGTCTAAAGTAGGACTAAAGCAGGACTAAAGCAGGTCTAAAGCAGGACGAAAGCAGGTCTAAAGCAGGACTAAAGCAGGACTAAAGCAGGACTAAAGCAGGTCTAAAGCAGGACTAAAGCGGGTCTAAAGCAGGTCTAAAGCAGGTCTAAAGCAGGACTAAAGCAGGACAAAAGCAGGTCTAAAGCAGGACTAAAGCAGGACTAAAGCAGGTCTAAAGTAGGACAAAAGCAGGACTAAAGCGGGTCTAAAGCAGGTCTAAAGCAGGTCTAAAGCAGGACTAAAGCAGGTCTAAAGCAGGTCTAAAGCAGGACTAAAGCAGGACTAAAGCGGGTCTAAAGCAGGTCTAAAGCAGGTCTAAAGCAGGTCTAAAGCAGGTCTAAAGCAGGTCTAAAGCAGGACTAAAGCAGGACTAAAGCGGGTCTAAAGCAGGTCTAAAGCAGGTCTAAAGCAGGTCTAAAGCAGGTCTAAAGCAGGTCTAAAGCAGGTCTAAAGCAGGTCTAAAGTAGGTCTAAAGTAGGTCTAAAGCAGGTCTAAAGCAGGTCTAAACCTCACCTTGACCTTCAGGTATAGAAAGCTGCTGTGTTTGTCGGCTCCTCTGGATGACTCCAGGTGGAACTGGGAGCAGCCTCCGGCCCGGGACAGTTCTGCAGACTTTAGGACCAGGTCGTGGTCTACGCGGACAAACTCCTCCTGAACGAGATCAGAACGAGATCAGAACGAGATCAGAACGAGATCAGAACGAGATCAGAACGAAGTGTCACACTCTCCAGTCTCTCTGTCCCCGGCCTCACTCTCCCTGGTCTCTCTCGCTCTCTGGTCTCTCTCGCTCTCTGGTCTCTCTCGCTCGCTCTCTGGTCTCTCTCGCTCTCTGGTCTCTCTCGCTCGCTCTCTGGTCTCTCTCGCTCTCTGGTCTCTCTCGCTCTCTGGTCTCTCTCGCTCGCTCTCTGGTCTCTCTCGCTCGCTCTCTGGTCTCTCTCGCTCTCTGGTCTCTCTCGCTCTCTGGTCTCTCTCGCTCTCTGGTCTCTCTCGCTCTCTGGTCTCTCTCGCTCGCTCTCTGGTCTCGCTCGCTCTGTGGTCTCGCTCGCTCTGTGGTCTCTCTCGCTCGCTCTCTGGTCTCTCTCGCTCGCTCTCTGGTCTCTCTCGCTCTCTGCTCTTGCCATGGCGCCGTAAAGATGGCGCCATGGCAAGAGCTCTGGTGTGTGTCGTCTGGTGCACACTGGGGTAGTCTTGCACAGTTTTTCCTATGTGGTTTTACTGCAAATGGCAAATAAATGAATCTAAATCTGGTCTCTCTCGCTCTCTGGTCTCTCTTGCTCTCTCTCGCTCTCTGGTCTCTCTCGCTCTCTCCGGTCTCACTCTCTCCGGTCTCTCCGGTCTCACTCTCTCCGGTCTCACTCTCTCCGGTCTCACTCTCTCCGGTCTCACTCTCTCCGGTCTCACTCTCTCCGGTCTCACTCTCTCCGGTCTCACTCTCTCCGGTCTCACTCTCTCCGGTCTCACTCTCTCTGGTCTCTCTCACTCCGGTCTCACCGCTCCGGCTTTAGCTCTTGTCGTTCCCAAACAGCAGAATCCCACGTCGTGTCCCTGAAAGACTGAAGCGTGATCGTCCAGATGCTCGAAGTCCACCACCTGCTGCACCTGCGGAGGACCCAGTGCATTAGACCCAGTGCATTAGACCCAGTGCATTAGACCCAGTGCATTAGACCCAGTGCATTAGACCCAGTGCATTAGACCCAGTGCATTAGACCCTCTCACTCCGGCCCCTTCTCTCTCCTCACTCTAGTCTCACTCCGGTACCTTGTCACTGGATCCTTTCTCACTTCGGTCTCACTCTGGTCCCCTCTCTCTCACCTGGGTCTGCATTGGGCCCAGACACTCACCACGTCCTTGTACATCTCGTCCTCCAGGGGGAGCTGTCTGCGTCCAATCAGCGTGACTCTGCTGAACACGTGTCTCTGCAGAATCTCCTTCAGCAAAACTCGCCCCGTTTCTCCAGACGCCCCGAGAACGAAGCAGCTGCGGTTCTGAGCCCGGAACTGCTGCTCCAGGGTCCTAAAGTCCACCTCTTGTGCCATCCTGTAAGAAAAACACATGAAAGTCCACCTCCTGTGCCATCCTGCATGTCCTCATGGTATGTCCTCATGGTGTGTCCTCATGGTATGTCCTCATGGTATGTCCTCATGGTATGTCCTCATGGTGTGTCCTCATGGTATGTCCTCATGGTGTGTCCTCATGGTGTGTCCTCATGGTGCGTCCTCATGGTGCGTCCTCATGGTGCGTCCTCATGGTGTGTCCCCATGGTCTGTTCACATGGTATGTCCCTCATGGTATGTCCCCATGGTATTTCCCCATGGTCTGTCCTGATGGTACGCCCTCATGGTCTGTCCTCATGGTATGTCCCCATTGTCTGTCCTGATGGTACGCCCTCATGGTACGTCCCCATGGTATGTCCTCATGGTACGTCCCCATGGTATGTCCCACATGGTATGTACCCATGGTCTGTCCTCAAGGTATGCTCTCAAGCTTTGCCCCAGTGGTAGGTCCTCATGGCACGTCCTCATGGTACCTCCCCATGGTATATCCTCACCTGGTGTAGTCCTGCGGCTCCGGGTCCCAGAGGATAAAAACTGCTGCTATTAAAACCAGTGCCGCGGTGAGGATCCAGGGCGTGAGTCCAGGACAGGACTCTAATAATCTCATTACACTTTTACAAATGAGTAATAATCTCGTTACACTTTGTACAAATGAGTAAAAGTAAAGATTATTAGAGTAAAATATCGGACACACACTTCCGGGTTCTTCCACCACTGTTTACACATCACAGTCTATCTAATTAAAAAGTGTCAATGGTTCACTGCGGGATGTGACATGTGTCCGTGCCGTTACCGTCGGTTAATGACGTAAACATTGTTTTTAAAAATAAATGAAAGCGGAAAAACAAAATAAGTACAAGACAAGATAGAAGCTTCTTCTGACAGCGCTGTCAGGGGAGGACGCATGCGCAGTACGGCCCTGCGGCGAGTGTAAATAAATTTAATAAAATGTAAAATGCATTTTTATTATTACAATTGTTATTATTAGAATCAATGGTAGAAGTAGCAGTAGTATTTATATTATTAGTGACATGATTTAGATAACTGGAAATCTGTAATTTGCGTGTGTGTGTATTTTTCAACTTCCAACACAGCCTATTACTAATATATTTCTAGTAACTTAGTAACTTTAGTCTCATAAATAACTTGTTTACGTTTTTACAACAGAAAAAACCCTGAGAGTCACTACTTTGGGACAGAGGCACAAAATACATGATGAAAACTAGTGACGAGCGTTTTATTACTTTGAATTAAAGGAGCAGTCTGTAAACATGTGGCCAAAAATGGTACTGCAGCCTCTCCCACTGTCCCTGACTCAGGTTGCCAGATATGCGGACGAATCCAGCTGGGACCATAACAGCTGAATAGACAAGAGTTTTGTCAACAACAAATCTATAACCAACACCTTTTTCACAAAGATAGAAATCCTGGTTTTATTCCTTGTTTTGCGGTTAATGATTTGAGAATCATAACGAGACCTTTTTTAGTTCTGCGCCACATGGTACTTTACCAGTGAGATTAGCTCCACGCGGTGAGTTCTGGCGCCCGGATCACAGACTTTCTGATTGGTGAAACGGTGGAGGGCGGGACATTGAAATGAAAACAAAAACAAGATTTAGAGGCTGGAAAAGTAATTTAGATATTCAAATATCTCTGAACTTCTGTTATCAGTTAAAGAAGTATTGGAAAAGAGCAGTTTATTATTATGACGGATTAGGGCCCTTTAATGATGACAGATTAGGGCCCTTTAATGATGACAGATTAGGGCCCTTTAATGATGACTTGTTATGAAGTTCTTCCATATTTCTACTTTGAACCCTAAAGCAGACTAGACTTAGACTGAGACATGTCCGAATCTCGCCGTGAGCAGCTCTTTAAGTCGATGGCGTCACCTTTAAGCAGAGGCCTAAGTGCGCCTCCTGCAGACACAGCGGCGTAAGTGCGTTGCTCAGCGGGCGATAACGTCTCGGGACAAAAGCCCGCGTCTCTGAGTGATCATGAATGTATCGGCTCTCCGTGAGCTCGCGGCGCCGCTCCGGACCGTCCCGTGTCAGCGCCAGGACTTCCGACCGTGGCGTCTTTGTGGAGAGCAGTGTGCGCTCATTAGCAAGGCCGCGGGGGGCAGAGCGCGCAACCACGGCCTTTTGTTTTCAGAGCGGAGGATCGATGCAGCCCACTCACCACAGGGGGCGCCGGCGGACACTGGAGGAAGTGCATCGATTCAGCAGAAGAAGTGGAACGTATGGATCCACAGACGCAGCGTGAGGCCGAAGAAAAGAGCAACAGGAGAAAAGAAGAAGCACTTCCACTGAACGGAGACTTCATACAGCAGCAGTTTGACACATGTGCTCCTCTGCAGAAGGGTCGGGGGTCAATGATGGGAGAGGGACTGAGGCTGTAGATCCAGGACTGAGGCTGTAGACCCAGAATTGATTGAGGCTGTAGATCCAGGACTGAGGCTGCAGACCCAGGACTGAGGCTGTAGACCCAGGACTGAGGCTGTAGACCCAAAGGGAGAGACACCATAGAGACTAGAGAAACATTCCAGAGAGAGAGAGACCTGTTTTATTCAGCACTTTGGGTTGCCTTGTGTTTAAACTTGCCTAAATTCTGTTTGTGTTAATACAACTTTATTATTACACATTCTGATTAGCATGGGTCCCACACCTGTGTTTCAGAGCCCGAAACGCTGGCTTTGTACAGATACACTGAATCCCTCTCTCTCTGGTCTCTCTCTGGTCTCTCTCTGGTCTCTCTCCGGTATCTCTCTCTGGTCTCTCTTTGGTCTCTCTTTGGTCTCTCTCTGGTCTCTCTCTGGTCTCTCTCTGGTCTCTCTCTGGTCTCTCTCTGGTCTCTCTTTGGTCTCTCTTTGGTCTCTCTCTGGTCTCTCTTTGGTCTCTCTTTGGTCTCTCTCTGGTCTCTCTCTGGTCTCTCTCTGGTCGCTCTCTCTCTGGTCTCTCTCTCTCTGATCTCTCTCTCTCTAGTCTCTCTCTAGTCTCTCTCTGGTATCTCTCTGGTCCCTCTCTGGTCTCTCTTTGGTCTCTCTTTGGTCTCTCTCTCTGGTCCCTCTTTGGTCTCTCTTTGGTCTCTCTTTGGTCTCTCTCTCAGGTCCCTCTTTGGTCTCTCTTTGGTCTCTCTCTGGTCTCCCTCTGGTCTCTCTCTGATCTCTCTCTGGTCTCTCTTTGGTCTCTCTTTGGTCTCTCTCTCAGGTCTCTCTCTGGTCTCTCTCTGGTCTCTCTCTGGTCTCTCTCTGGTCTCCCTCTGGTCTCTCTCTGATCTCTCTCTGGTTTTAAACAGACCAAATCTCCAAAACCACTGTGTTTTCAGAACGATCTCAGTTAAAGTCTTGACAGAACGAATGAGTAAAGAGGTAAAGTTCTACAAAGACCGGTTTCAGACCAGTTTCAGACCAGTTTCAGACCAGTTTCAGACCAGTTTCAGACCTCTCTTTGTCCAGTCCATGTTTAGTCCATGTTTGATTGGACTCAAAAAGACTAAACGCTCGGATCAAAGCAGATTCTGGCAGAAAAGGAGCATTCCGAGTCCGACAGTAGATTCGCCGACCTCTGCTTTGTCCTCGCTGAGTAAATATCTTCAGACCAATTACTGCGTGAGCGACCACACAGACAGATCAGACCAGGACCAGGGCCGGATCAGACCAGGACCAGGGCCGGATCAGGCCTGGTTTAGACCCAGATCACACAAAGATCACAGGAGCCATCACCAAACGCCAGATTAAGCCGCGTCACCTCCGACCTGTCGCCGCTAATGTGTTTGGACCGAAAACCCGCAGATAAAGATGACACCGTGTTCTCAGGGTTTGGGAGAGCGCCCCCCGCAGGAGAACAAAGGCCTGTGTTTAAACTGTGGATTAACTCAGATTAGAACATGTCCCACAGGAGTGAGGCGTTTAAAGTGACCAGCAGTGAATTCACACGGACCCATGGTCATCAGCGTGTGTGATGGTACCAGAGAGACCAGAGAGACCAGAGAGAGACCAGAGAGAGACCAGAGAGAGACCAGAGAGAGACCAGGGAGGGACCAGAGAGAGACCAGAGAGAGACCAGAGAGAGACCAGAGAGAGACCAGAGAGAGACCAGAGAGGAGCCAGAGAGAGACCAGAGAGAGAGACCAGAGAGAGACCAGAGAGAGACCAGAGAGGAGCCAGAGAGAGACCAGAGAGAGACCAGGGAGGGACCAGAGAGAGACCAGAGAGAGACCAGAGAGAGAGACCAGAGAGAGAGACCAGAGAGAGACCAGAGAGAGAGACCAGAGAGAGAGACCAGAGAGAGACCAGAGAGAGACCAGAGAGAGACCAGAGAGAGACCAGAGAGAGACCAGAGAGAGATCAGAGAGAGACCAGAGAGAGACCAGAGAGACCAGAGAGACCAGAGAGAGACCAGAGAGAGACCAGAGAGAGACCAGAGAGAGAGACCAGAGAGAGACCAGAGAGAGACCAGAGAGAGACCAGAGAGAGACCAGAGAGAGATCAGAGAGAGACCAGAGAGAGACCAGAGAGACCAGAGAGAGACCAGAGAGAGACCGGAGATAGGGACCAGAGGTAGGGACCGACGAAAGGGACCAGGGAGAGAACACCCTGGTGAGGCCTCTCTCTGGTCTCTGGACTGTAGGACCATGAGAATACCCTGGTGAGGCCTCTCTCTGGTCTCTCACTGGTCGCTCTGATGGTATTGTAGGACTATGAGAATGACCCAAACACACATGAGCTAACACCGCTCAATGCTGCGCTAATGAGCTAATGTTTACTCACACGGTGTAATCCGCTAACACCGCGGGAAACTAATCCAGAGCAAGTGATCGGCTTAATCCCATCCACACATCCAGAGACTGCAGCTGCAAACTCACTCCCCACGGCCTCCACGACACTCAGATAACTCTGTGTTTGTGGTTGTTATCAATGCATCGGTTTCAGATTTAGAATAAAGAAAAGAAAACATCTGTGAATTTGGAAAAAAATCTCTCTTGATTTTGGGCGAATTCTGAAATAAATGAGACCAGAGAGAGAACAGAGAGAGAGACCAGAGAGAGAGAACAGAGAGAGACCAGAGAGAGAGACAAGAGAGAGAGAACAGAGAGAGACCAGAGAGAGAGACAAGAGAGAGAGAACAGAGAGAGACCAGAGAGAGAGACAAGAGAGAGAGAACAGAGAGAGACCAGAGAGAGAGACAAGAGAGAGAGAACAGAGAGAGACCAGAGAGAGAGACCAGAGAGAGAGACTAGAGAGAGACCAGAGAGAGAGACCAAAGAGAGAGACTAGAGAGAGACCAGAGAGAGACCAGAGAGAGACCGGAGAGAGACCAGAGAGAGAACAGAGAGAGAAACAAGAGAGAGAGAACAGAGAGAGACCAGAGAGAGAGACAAGAGAGAGAGAACAGAGAGAGACCAGAGAGAGAGACCAGAGAGAGAGACCAAAGAGAGAGACTAGAGAGAGACTAGAGAGAGACTAGAGAGAGACCAGAGAGAGACCAGAGAGAGACCAGAGAGAGACCAGAGAGAGACCGGAGAGAGACCAGAGAGAGACCAGAGAGAGAACAGAGAGAGAAACAAGAGAGAGAGAACAGAGAGAGACCAGAGAGAGAGACTAGAGAGAGACCAGAGAGAGAGACCAAAGAGAGAGACTAGAGAGAGACCAGAGAGAGACCAAAGAGAGAGAGCAGAGAGAGAGAGACCAGAGAGAGAGAGACCAAAGAGAGAGACCAGAGAGAGAGAGACCAGAGAGAGAGAGACCAGAGAGACAGAGACCAAAGAGAGAGACCAGAGAGAGAGACCAGAGAGAGAGAGACCAGAGAGAGAGAGACCAGAGAGAGAGAGACCAAAGAGAGAGACCAAAGAGAGAGACCAGAGAGAGAGCAGAGAAAGACCAGAGAGAGACCAGAGAGAGACCAGAGAGAGACCAGAGAGAGGTGCTCCGCTCCAAAAGAGGACTGTGATCTGTCTGTTCTGGAGGTTCTGGAGGTTCTTATAATCTATAATCATCAATGACTCTTCTGGCCTCTGGAAGAATCCTGTTCCAGCTTCTTCCCTTTGGCAGAAAATATCATTTGCTGAGACACAGGACATCTGGTTTTGCTAACAGCTTCTTTCAGTTTAGTTTGATGGATTTCATTGTCAATTATTTCCTGTTTAGTTTGTTTTATGTCTGTACTTGTCTTGTTCACACTGGGGACTCTTGCATATGCATTCCAATGGGGTTTTACTGCAAATAGCAAATACAAGAATCAGACTCGACTTGAGTTTCCCGGATGGTCGCAGCCTCGGTCTGGACTTTGTGGATTGGGGAAAGTGAGGGTTTTGTCTCCTTCAGCTCAACAAGACTTTTCAGACTGAATTCTGTGGATAACGAAGGAACAAAGGTCCTCTTCAGCCGCTCTCCTGTCGCCTCTTCGTCTCTGAGCCTTTCTCCTTAAACACCACCTCGTCTCTTCAGCTGCTCTGTGGTTTTCAAGCTTTTTAGGGAAGGAATAAAATCTTCTGATTGCCAACTTTGTTTGGTTCAACCGGAGCCTTAAATTCTATTAGAGACCAGAGAGAGACCAGAGAGAGACCAGAGAGAGACCAGAGAGAGACCTGAGAGAGACCAGAGAGAGACCAGAGAGAGACCTGAGAGAGACCTGAGAGAGACCAGAGAGAGACCAGAGAGAGACCAGAGAGAGACCAGAGAGAGACCTGAGAGAGACCAGAGAGAGACCAGAGAGAGACCTGAGAGAGACCAGAGAGAGACCAGAGAGAGACCAGAAAGAGACCGTATTTAATTATATAATAGTTGCAGATCTTCTTTGGTCCTTCCTTGTTTATTTGTTACAAACATTGAGGTAAATTACTGAGAACTCTCTTGTCTCGTCTCGTCTCGTCTGCAGATTGTTGATTCCATCCCAGCCTCATGTGTGGTCCGTGTGTGCGTACGGGATTAGTGGTGTTAGCATCAGGGCTAATGATGTTTGCTGTGATCAGCTAAAGTCCCCACGGGCTAAGCAAACAGGGGGAGGCGGGGGAGGATGGGGGACATTTGGACCGGGGTCGATGACGTGACCTCTGGATCCAGGATCTGTCCAAGAGTGAAACGGGTCAATGTGGTTCTGGGAGACGGACGTTTGGCGTCAAATAGATCCATAGATGATGCTTTTCCTTGGACTTTCTCCTTCTCTTCTCTTATTGTTTAAATTCTTTACATTTGTACTGTGTGTGTTTGTGTGTTTCTACCTGAGGACCATGGATGTAATTTAGCTCAATGACTGATTTCAGTTTACTCATGTTGATGCTGTTTACAGACACAATGATTCATTCACTAAAATTTGATTAAAAAAATAAAAGCAAACACAGCAGTATCATCTCATTGTGCTGAGGATAAAACTGTCCCAGAACGTCTCATTTGTATATTTCATGACCTGTGACTGGTCCGTCTCTGGTCTCCCTCAGCCTCAGTCTGCAGCACTGGGGCCCCTCAGGGCACTGTCCTCTCACCGTTTCTCTTCACCAGCTGCACCAGTAAGACCAAGCAGGCTGAGGTCCTTCTGAGGAGGCTGAGGTCCTTCTGAGGAGGCTGAGGTCCTTCTGCGGAGGCTGAGGTCCTTCTGAAGAGGCTGAGGTCCTTCTGAAGAGGCTGAGGACCTTCTGAGGAGGCTGAAGTCCTTCTGAAGAGGCTGAGGTCCTTCTGAGGAGGCTGAGGTCCTTCTGAAGAGGCTGAGGACCTTCTGAGGAGGCTGAGGTCCTTCTGAAGAGGCTGAGGTCCTTCTGAAGAGGCTGAGGTCCTTCTGAAGAGGCTGTTAAAATAAGATAGAGTTTATTGATCTCTGATGGAGAAATGTACACGTCACATCATGGATAATGTGAAACATGTTAAAAGCAGGATATATTATGTACAAAAATCAGTGTCAATAGTAGTGCAGGTTTTTCGGTCCTAATGCAAGTGACTTAAAGTGACTTGTTGTACAGTCTGACAGCGGTGGGGATAAAGGCCCTGCTCCTTCTTACACTGAGGGTGTCTCAGTCTTCCACTGCAGGAGCTCCTCCTCAGTCCTGTGCAGGAGGTGTTGTCCATGAAGGAGGTGACTTTAACTAGCACCTCCTGTCCCTCACCTCCTCCTGACCAGCTTGTTCAGTCTACTCCTGTCCCGCTCTGTGCTGCCCGGGGCCCAGCACCTCAGCCTCCTCAGAAGGACCTCAGCCTCTTCAGAAGGACCTCAGCCCCCTCAGAAGGACCTCAGTCTCTTCAGAAGGACCTCATCCTCCTCAGAAGGACCTCATCCTCTTCAGAAGGATCTCAGCCTCCTCAGAAGGACCTCATCCTCTTCAGAAGGACCTCAGCCTCCTCAGAAGGACCTCAGCCTCCTCAGAAAGACCTCAGCCTCTTTAGAAGGACCTCAGCCTTCTCAGAAGGACCTCAGCCTCCTCAGAAGGGAGAGGCGACTTTGGCCCTTCTTGTGCAGGGCGTTGGTGTTATGGACCAGTCCAGTTTATTGTTAATGTGAGCACAGGTTCTTGAAGCTGTCCACCAGCTCAATGTCCTCCCCCTGGATGTTCAGCGGCGTGTGGGAAAGTGGTTTTCTCCTGAAGTCCATTACCATCTCCTTGGTCTTACTGGTGTTAGCACAGGTACCATCTCCTTGGTCTTACTGGTGCAGCTGTGTGTATCATTTTTGAAGTCTGAAGTGTAGATGGTGAAGAGAAACGGTGAGAGGACAGTGCCCTGAGGGGCCCCAGTGCTGCAGACGACCACCTCAGACTCACAGCTGCAGCCGCTCGTACTGTGGTCTGTCTGAGAGGTAGTCGATGGTCCATGCAGTGAGGTAGTCGATGGTCCATGCAGTGAGGTAGTCGATGGTCCATGCAGTGAGGTAGTCGATGGTCCATGCACTGAGGCTACTGTCCACTCCCACGTCCTCCATCTTCCCCCGCAGCAGTGCCGGTCTGATGGTGTTGAAAGCACTGGAGAAGTCAAAGAACATGACCCTCACTGCGGTCCCGGCGTGCTCCAGGTGGTGAGGTCCTTCTGAGGCTAGTGAGGGACAGGAGGCCCCTGGACTCTGTGGAGGAGGTGAGGGACAGGAGGCCCCTGGACTCTGTGGAGGAGGTGAGGGACAGGAGGCCCCTGGACTCTGTGGAGGAGGTGAGGGACAGGAAGAATCACAGTCACCTCCATCATGGACAACACCTCCTGCACAGGACTGAGGAGGAGCTGAGGAGCTCCGTCAGTGGAAGAGGAGCAGGGCCTTTGTCCCCACCGCTGTCAGACTGTACAATAAGTCACTTTAAGTCACTTGCATTAGGACTAAAAACCTGCACTACTATTGACACTGTTTATTGATTGCTATTGTACATTATTATATCCTTATATTTTTTAATAGTTAACATGTTGCACATGTCTCCTGTGTGAGATCAATTAAGTCTATCTTATCTTATCTGGCTAATGAGAAATCAAAAGTGTGTAAGTGAGTGCTCGTGTGGACATGCAGCGGAGTCTAGTCTCGTCTTTTGGAAGAGCTAACGCTGCACAACAAACCTCAGTTTATCAGAAGAAAACATGAGGTAACAGAAAATACACTGCAAAACCACACGGAGATACGAGAACAGCCTTTGCATGAGTTTACTTTGTAAGATCCTAACCCTTTACCTACGTCCCTTAGATCTGTCCTGATCCAAGTCCTAAACCAGGGGTGTCCAAACATTTGAGTCAGAGGGTTATGTTAGTTCCCCAGACTAGTCCAGGGGACATCTGACTGACATCTGGCTGTTCTGAGCTTTAAGATGATCTATAACGGAGCTGAAGTTGGCTGAATGACACATGTTTACCATCTCACCATCTTCATTAGCAACATTAACCAAAGTGACAATCAAAGAGTACGTACACAGACTGAAGCCCATACGTCGGGACTTCAGAACAAGACATGTCTGTATTGGCTGAGCTGAAGTTGGCTGGATGACACAGTGAGCATGTGTTAATGATCTCAAAGACTGCTGTGTGTTAGCGAGGCAGAGGGCCTGAGTTTGGACACGGCTGACTTCAATGGTGTCAAGATGGTCCACAACTCAGGAGCAAACATCCGCTGTGTCTGATGAAGAGTCAGATGATGAAGAGTCAGATGATGAAGACCTGCAGATAGTAAGTAAGTAATCTTTATTTATATAGCGCCTTTCACAGACCAGAGTCAAAGCGGTTTACAATTGTTATTTTTGTTCATTTGTCTCTCACTCCACACAGAGATGGGAGCGGGGCCAGTACAGGAGGCGCATGCCAGAACTATTGTACATATTTTTAGTGGTAGGGGAGGGTAGAGTGCCCGGAGGAAACCTACGCAGACACGGGGAGAACATGCAAACTCCACTCAGAAAGGCCCTGGTCCGACCGGGATTCGAACCTAGGACCTTCTTGCTGAGAGGCGAGAGTGCTATCCACTCAGCCACCGTGCCGCCCGGTGAGTCAGATGATGAAGACCTGCAGATGATGAAGACCTGCAGATGATGAAGAGTCAGATGATGAAGACCTGCAGATGATGAAGGAAATCACTGAAGCACTGTCAGGTCTTCATTAGGGGTGTGACGATATTAACGGCGTATTGACCGAGCGCGAGGTCTGTACGGAGAAATATCATCGCTGGCGCTGTTCGGACCAATTGTCATGGTAACGGTCCCAGATGTGTCTGTGTGTGTCTGTGTGTGTGTGTGTCTGTGTGTGTCTGTGTGTGTGTGTGTCTGTGTTTGTGTGTCTGTGTGTGTGTGTGTGTCTGTGTGTGTCTGTGTTTGTGTGTGTGTGTCTGTGTGTAGTATGTTTTGTTTGTTTGTTATTTTCATTTCCATGGTGAGTGCTGTGTTTGGCTAAAGTTTGGGCGCCCCTGGTTTCTCCCCCCTGGTGGCAGAGTGGTTAGCCTCCTCCCAGCGGACGTCCTGTCAGATCAGTGTTTTGTCCCTCTCTCTAAGTGGACATCAGTCAGGTGTGGGTTCTATTCCCTCAGCTCCGTGCTCTGGGAATAGAACCCTCACGCACAATTAGAGCGGATTAAAGAGGAGCAGGGGTCGAACCAGCAACACATGGGACCAGCAACAAGGGCCACATCTGAGGCTGCGAGCGGGACAAGGCTTTCACCCTTTAAAGCTGGGGTCTGTAACTTTAAAGCTGGGGTATGTAACTTTCAGAACACAAGTATTATTATTATTACTATGTGTTTATTTGACGGGAACAGAACAAAAAGCATTGTTACAGGTAACTGACGCCATGTTGAAGGCCGTATAGCTAACAGCTAACCGCTAATTAGCAGACCTGAAGATTAGCTGTTAGCTTAGTTGCTATAGAACTGCGGACTCTTTTTTTAATACAAACATACAAATGTTTTCTGATCAAATGATGACAAGACTTTTCTGTTGGACAAACTACATGTTATTGATGTGACTGAAGTTACAGACCCCAGCTTTAAAGTTATACAGCTGTGTGTGTGTGTGCTCAAATGTGCTTCTGCTTCATCCAACCCCTCTTCAAGCCAGATACACATTATCATTCAGTAATGACTGTTCTCCTTTGATCTGTTTAACCTTTTTAAATGTATTTTATTTTTATTTAGATTTGATTAAGAACATCACAAAGACGTATCATCAACATTTGTCTTGTCCTTCTCACATTTTAGTAATAATGTAATAAATATAAATACTGATAAAAGACAAACAAGAAGAGAAAGTATTTAGTCAGTTCTCCCACTTACGAAGACGAGGGAGCCCTGAAATTTCCATCACAGATAAACCTCAACAATGAGAGACAGAATGAGAAAAAAAACACATTGTCTGATTTTTAAAGAATTTATTTTTCTAAATGATGGTGGAAAATGTGTGACTTTGGACTCGCTGCCGTTTCCAGAACATTCAAAACATAAACATTTTTATAATTTTTCCATTTTGAATATTTCTAGACCTGGTCCAGACCCGTCTCCTCTGAACCGAGGCTGGAGCCCAACCCAGTGTTGTTTTTAACCTCTTTTTCATAACATTTATATCAACATTTACTTTAAAAATACATGCTTTAGATCATAGGTGTCAAAGTCAAGGCCCGGGGGCTGGATCCGGCCCACAATACGAATGACCTCGGCCCCGGGATGATATTGGAGGATAGAGTCAGACCCAACCGCACAGAGACATAAGAAAATACTGGATTATTTATTGAATGTTCAGGTGTTTTCTCTCTGAAGGAAATGTTTTAACTTGAAACGACTCCGAGCCATAAAAACATTAGATTATTCATTTAATCATTAAATAAAACACGGTCTTGGTTCAACAGGTTTTACATCATTTTAATGTTTTAATAATGTCATGGTTTAGGTTTATTCCCACGTCAGTTTTTTCTGTGTTTTATAACTTTTCATATATTTTTCTCTCATTTTTATTTTGTTTTACATGATATTAAATCAATCATATTTTCAGTTTTGTTTGTGTCTTTGAACCAGCCCGGGCCGTGGCTTTAGCCTCTGATAAAAACACTGTTGGATCTGAGACTGTTGCATATTAAAGCTCAGATCTGTAAATTGATATTCACATTGATAGCAGGTTTAGTGACAGCAGCTTTAGTCCTCGCAGCCAGACCCTGGTCCACTTTGGCCCTGATCCACTTTGGTCCATATTACAGACGTCTTTGGCACATTTGTCACATATGGCTCTGAGCTAATGACACCTCCTCTGGGACCAGCTGTCCACTCCTCAGCTGGTTACTCTGTGAGTCTGAGGGGAGAAACCAGGGGCCGAAGACCGGACCAGACCCAGGGACCCAGGGACCCAGGGACCCAGGGACCCAGGGACTCAGGGACCAGGGTCTAATCCGCTTTGATCCAGCCTCAGATCTGTCAGCTCCAACTTGTACTGTGAGTGCGATTCCTAATGAGGGATATGAGAGCAGACGTGAGGACAAAACAGGACAAAAGACTGAGGAAGAGGAGGAGGAGGAGGAAGAGGAGGAGGAGAAGGAGGAGGAGGAAGAGGAGGAGGAGGTTTAAACTGTATTTGTGTAAGATTTAAAGCTGGGGTACGAAACGTTTGTCTCAAAAAAAAACATGAGTGTTTGTCCGACTGTGTCTTGAAGTAAGTAAAACTGAGAGACCAGAATGAGACCAAAGAGAGACCAGAGAGAGACCAAAGAGAGACCAGTGAGAGACCAGAGAGAGACCAAAGAGAGACCAGAGAGAGACCAAAGAGAGAGACCAAAGAGAGACCAGAGAGAGACCAAAGAGAGACCAGTGAGAGACCAAAGAGAGACCAGTGAGAGACCAAAGAGAGACCAGAGAGAGACCAGAGGGAGACCAAAGAGAGACCAAAGAGAGACCAGAGAGAGACCAAAGAGAGACCAGAGAGAGACCAAATAGAGACCAGAGAGAGACCAAAGAGAGACCAGTGAGAGACCAAAGAGAGACCAGAGAGAGACCAAAGAGAGACCAAAGAGAGACCAAAGAGAGACCAGTGAGAGACCAGAGAGACTAGAGAGAGACCAGAGAGAGACCAGAGAGAGCAGAGAGAGACCAGAGAGGGACCAGAGAGGGACCAGAGAGGGACCAGAGAGAGACCAGAGCGAGACCAAACAGACAAAGTGAGACCAGAGCAAAACCACAACGATGCATTTTCACATATTCTGATCGCTAATCGCTAATAACAACCGTGAAAACAGTTGAAGTGATTTCCTTGCGTTTGAGTCCCTCTTGAAAACATTCAAAGTGGACACAGTGATCGCGGCGCAGTGGAGGCGGCGCACCAGCAGAAGGAGCCGGTGCCGTGTTTTGCATAATGTGCGTCTTTAATTCATTCCTCCTCTTCTTCTGTCTCTCTCCGTCTCTTTTTCCTGGATCTTTGTCGGGGTGCGTGAGTGTGCCAGCTGCCCCCCCTCCCCGCGCCACGCACAAAAGCTTCCCCGGGATGCGCGGCCCGCTTGTGTGCGCGCCCCGCTTGTGTGCTGATAAATCACTGCTTAATGTGCGCTCCTTTGTGCGACCGCTTTTGTGCGACGGGGAGTTGTTAAAAGCGCGGCACAAATAATGAAGTGAGTCTCTTTTGAAGCTCTCCACAATATTGACTGGTCGCGGAGCAGATGTGGCTGGTAAAAAGGCCGTCGCGTTAACAAAGGCCGCGGGGGGCGAGGGGGGGCCGCGGGGGGGGCACGCATTCAGCGCTTTTTAAGTGACAATTAATTAGATGTAATAGTTATTTCATGCGAGGCGAGAATGCGCAGAGTCAAACACAGGCTGCGGAGGCGTCACAAAGGACTTTTCTAACAGGCTTAGAGCAGAGTTTATGCACTTTTCTCTTCTCTGGCCGCGAGACGACACAGCAGCTGTTTGTGCGGCGTCCGGGCGCGGCGCACACGGCGGCGTTCCAACCGACCAACGACAGAGACGGTCGGCGCAAAAGGATTCAAATCAGTATCATCTCAGACTTAACAAAACCATTTGGATTCACAGATCAGAGAATCAACAGTTAAAACACAATGGCCTCATTTGTGAAACTTGCGTCGGGCCAAATCAGTGTAAACGAGGCGTACGCAAATAATTTACACTTTTCAGCATTTATCAATCTGGACGAGGGCGTATGGCACAGAATATACACCGAGTCTGGAGGTGGTGTACATTTGATACACATCTCAAACTTCATCACAACACGCCAAAACAAAGATTCGGACAACAATAAACACGTTCACACTCTGGAAAAATTATAAGTTTTTATTGAGCATCATGTTTCGACATTTGAATTTGCGCATCAGAAAAATCTAATGGAACCACACAAACTTCTAATAAATCACAGTTCATGACACGTTCATGATGAGTACCCTCTTCTGCTCCTTTGTTTTTAAATCTGACTTGTGTGTATTATTTTCACCTGTATGTTTATTAAATGTGAAGTGATCCTGGTCTGTGAAAGGCGTTGTAGAAATAAACTTGACTTACGCACTAACTAAAGCAACAGGGTGTGACCATCTATTGCTCTGTAAATCTGAGGCAGGCGCTGTGTAATTACGCATTTGTTTTTCCTCATTCAGCTCTGGAAAAGCAATGTGTTTTTTCATTAGTTTTGTGCTTAAAGCCCTCACTCCGACTGTCTCAGCCACTGCCCTCTTCCACATGTAGCAGTTTATAGACAGCAACGCACTTCTCTGTGGGAACGGGCTCTGGGGCAGTGGCTCTGGGGCAGTGGCTCTGGGGCAGTGGCTTTGGGGAAGTGGGACAGTGGCTCTGGGGCAGTGGCTCTGTGGCTCTGGGGCAGTGGCTCTGTGGCTCTGGGGCAGTGGCTCTGGGGCAGTGGCTTTGGGGAAGTGGGACAGTGGCTCTGGGGCAGTGGGATAGTGGCTCTGGGGCAGTGGCTCTGGGGCAGTGGCTCACCGGTGCATCACTGCTCAAATGTAGGGCGCCTCATTCAGACGTTTTGGATCTAAAGATTCTCTGTGAAATCACAGACACTTTTCAAAACTTCTCTTAAGCATCTTTCTCTCTCACAGACGCTTGAGCCACCGCTGAGGCCGAGATATTAACATTCATTCATTCACTTCTAAAGTTGAAGAGAGATGAGTGCTGCAGTGAGTCTAGACACTAGGGAAAAAACGTGTATATATAATATAGCGTATATTTATTTTTAAACAAACATGAATAAACTCAGGAGTACGTGCCAAAGGCTTTTTGAGGCTTCCTAACAGTCTTCGTGGCCGACTTCCTGCTGAGCTGTCGTTAAAAACAGGGCGTGACTTTCTTAAATACGCTAGTTTTCACCGCAGCATTTACTAACAACCGTACGTTCAGATCTGGGCGGATCTCACATGTTCAGAAATCCCACGTTGGATCTTGCGTATTTTTAATCTACACCAAAAAAACACACGCTTTTCTGCGCACGTTTCATAAATGAGGGCCAGAGAGAAAACATGTATCAGACCATAGGGAGAGACCAATGTCATACATGTGATAAATGTCATACATGTTGATAAATGTAACACATGTTGATAAATGTCATACATGTTGATAAATGTCATACATGTTGATAAATGTAACACATGTTGATAAATGTAACACATGTTGATAAATGTCACACATGTTGATAAATGTCACACATGTTGATAACTGTCATACATGTTGATAAATGTCATACATGTTGATAAATATCATACATGTTGATAAATATCATACATGTTGATAAATATCACACATGTTGATAAATATCATACATGTTGATAAATATCATACATGTTGATAAATGTAACACATGTTGATAAATATCATACATGTTGATAAATATCATACATGTTGATAAATGTAACACATGTTGATAAATGTCATACATGTTGATAAATGTCACACATGTTGATAAATGTCATACATGTTGATAAATGTCATACATGTTGATAAATGTCATACATGTTGATAAATGTCACACATGTTGATAAATGTAACACATGTTGATAAATGTCATACATGTTGATAAATGTAACACATGTTGATAAATGTCATACATGTTGATAAATATCACACATGTTGATAAATATCATACATGTTGATAAATGTCATACATGTTGATAAATGTCATACATGTTGATAAATGTCATACATGTTGATAAATGTCATACATGTTGATAAATGTAACACATGTTGATAAATATCATACATGTTGATAAATGTAACACATGTTGATAAATGTCATACATGTTGATAAATGTCACACATGTTGATAAATGTAACACATGTTGATAAATGTCATACATGTTGATAAATGTCATACATGTTGATAAATGTCATACATATTGATAAATGTAACACATGTTGATAAATGTCATACATGTTGATAAATGTCATACATGTTGATAAATGTCATACATGTTGATAAATGTCACACATGTTGATAAATATCATACATGTTGATAAATGTAACACATGTTGATAAATGTAACACATGTTGATAAATGTTATACATGTTGATAAATATCACACATGTTGATAAATGTCATACATGTTGATAAATGTCATACATGTTGATAAATGTCACACATGTTGATAAATGTCACACATGTTGATAAATGTAACACATGTTGATAAATATCATACATGTTGATAAATGTCATACATGTTGATAAATGTCATACATGTTGATAAATGTCACACATGTTGATAAATGTAACACATGTTGATAAATGTAACACATGTTGATAAATATCACACATGTTGATAAATGTCATACATGTTGATAAATGTCATACATGTTGATAAATGTCACACATGTTGATAAATGTCACACATGTTGATAAATGTAACACATGTTGATAAATATCATACATGTTGATAAATGTCATACATGTTGATAAATGTCATACATGTTGATAAATGTCACACATGTTGATAAATGTCACACATGTTGATAAATGTCATACATGTTGATAAATGTAACACATGTTGATAAATGTCATACATGTTGATAAATGTAACACATGTTGATAAATGTCATACATCAATCAATCAATCAACGTTTATTTATAGAGCGCCTTTCCTACACAAGGCAACGCAAAGCGCCTCACAACCCATATAACATCATGCATAAATCATCAAACATTAGAATTTAAGTAAACATAAAAAGACAGATTAAGAGCACAAGATATATAAAATCACAGTAAGTAGTTAAAAACCGTAAAAAATTAAAATCACACAAGGGATTACAATCATAAATAATCATAAATAATCATAGCGCATTAAAAAGATTAAAGATAAAAACAAATGTAAAATCATTCACTTGTATGCACAGCTAAAAAGAACTGTTTTCAGTTCAGTTTTAAAAACTGCTAGAGTAGACGCCTGTCTCACACTCTCGGGAAGACGGTTCCAGACTCTAGCTGCATGAATCTGAAACGCAGCCTCCCCATGTCTAGTTCCGACTCTTGGCACTAACAGAAGTCCAGTCCCTGTGCTCCTCAGAGCCCGAGTTGGTTCATATGGCACCAACATGTCGCGGATGTACCCTGGTGCGAGGCCATGGAGAG